TAGAGTAAAATGAAAAAGGTCAATCTCAAACTCTGCTTAAAACGGAAGAAATTGTATAGTTTTTGATGTTATCTGAACTTATTGTGGGCCTTCAATAATGAAATTTCAGCAAGGTTCATTTCATCTCATCAATGGTCCATCATAATTTTGTGTTCTGTTCTATATGGACACGTAGAAATTGGACTGTATTTCCATTTTTGCTTCTTACAAATCAATCTGATGTTCAGCTTAAACCACACCAATTACACTTGTTTAAATTTATTGATGTTTTATTACCTGATTGTGTACCTTTAATAATTCTCTGTAGTTTCTGGAAAGTTTAAAGTCCTTCCATAATGAATGGAAGCTTTTATTGTGTATATTAGGGCCAGCCTCTTTAATTCCGGCATTTATCAAGTGATAGTAATATAGATACAGACCAGCTTTTAATGTCTTGATCATATGACAATCTGCACGTAGTACTGGCAATTAACCTATGGCTGCCTCTTACGTGATATGTTGCAACCACTTGGGAAAGTTCCATAATGGCTTTTGATAATTTCATTCTTCTAATGTACTATGGTGATATATGAACAAGGAGATAATTGTTGTCTGTTTTCCCATCTTTGCCAGTGACATTTGACTGGGATTTTGGTTAATGGTTCCACATATGTATTGGTTTTAATATTTAATGCTTATGGAAGATTTTCTCCAGATACATTTGTTCGTTGAAATTTGTACAACTATATATCACTTCAAGTCTTTGGACTATCAACACCTTTATTTAGATTGTGTTATATCTGTAATTAAGTTGTTTAATATACCTTCCAAATTGACTCGGCTTTTCATTATTGGTTCTCGACTTTATATTGAGTTGAAAATCACTTTACGTTTTCAGAAGTAAAAATGGCAATTGACCTCAGTGGATAATGATTAATTATTCCCAGGGGATTTACCATTAGTTTCATTTACATTTAACAACCAGTTGGTGGCGGTGCCAACCTCCTGGGGGTGCAAATAGGGCGTAGACTAACTTAATATGGGAACAACTGCCAGGATTCAGATTTCAAATGGGGTATTTTATAGGCGAAGGTTTAAGGAGGGTTTCCCAAATAAAGATTTTGAAAAATTAAATTGATTTGGTGCATTCTGATACACATAGGGATGCAAAAATGTATAGAAATCCGATTTGAAACTTTTCATTAATGAACTGGGGGTTTAATCAAAGGCACAAGCTATATTTCCAGAGGCAAAATGCCCCCTCTGTCCTCCCTCAGGTGCTGCCATTGCAACCAATTACTTATCACACAACTGACATATTCTGGAAACGATCTTAGCTCCAGCATGTCCTTGGTCTTTATCTTCTAACATTGATTCTAGGACATCCTATCGTTCCAAATGTTTATTAAAAAAGAAATAGACTCCCTTGTGAAATATATATAGTTATTCAATAAAAGACTGTGATTGGTTTTATTACTGTTAACTTTATCATTGGACCATTAAGTGTAATAAATACTTGCTAATTGGTACATGTTTTGTTTACAGTTCTCATCAACACAGCTCAGTGAGATGAAATTAAAGAGACTAGTGCACCATTTTGGGGGTTGATTTGAGTCTTGAATATATGTAAATAGTCTTCAGATATACTGAAGATATACTAGGAATTTCTTTTCCTATTTCTATAGATTCTAAGATTGGTAAAAGAAAATGGGACATCTATCGCTATAAATAAATGGTGGTTTACATGTACTGGTTATTTTTGTAACTCATAAACAGTCTGATTAAAAAAATACAAAACAATTTAAATCATTGAGATCATTTTGACTGATGACTGACTTCTTCTTTAACTGTTACTTTACTTGACAAGTTTCTTCTAAGATAATGAAGTGATTAGTAATCTGACCTATATGTAATTAACCTGTTTTAAGTCTATCAGATCACATTAAGATTCAATTTGCTATGATCTCACTTGTTTAATACTTTGGCTGTTATTAATTCTCTTCAGAACACTTCAAGTTGAAACTTTTGATTATTTGATTCTCATTATAGATTCTAAATAGTTATCTGATTCACGTACTGGACGATCCATTATTAATATAGTCAATATGGTTATTTAGACTGGGTTAGTAGGACTGTCACTAGAATACTAATAAAGTGACTTTTGGCATGAAGTACTCAGTTTTCTGTCAAAGATTCAATCAAAGTATCACGCACAAGTTCCCTAGAAATTTTGACGCCAAATTTGAACTATTTCTCAGACACTAATTACAGAAATTGATGGAAAAAAATGAAATTATATATTTTCTGATTTCATTGTCCGGCATTGAATTTCATAATTCAAGAAATTTTCTTGATGAAATCTTCTATATAGAGGTCTTTTTGTGAAACTCGATTCAGTCTGAACATTTGAAATGCCAATTACTGGATGAAATATCAGTAATGTCTGTACTTTGTGGGCGATCTATCAGTTGTCATTATTAAATTTGTTTCAAGTCCTCAAGCAAATCTTTTCACTTTTACAGTCAGAATCACATGAATATTGGTCATTTTCCATTAGAATTGCTTCCCTATAGGCTTCTAGTTGTTAACGGTTTAAAATGTTAATTTGTGACTGCTTGATTGAAACTGTGTTAGTCGAACATTTGTTACTGGTGCAAATTTTTCCGTTTTCCATGGTGCTACATTATACAATATCACCCATAAATACTTAATTATAGAATTCTGGAAATGATCAGGAGTCTATACATTGCTTGTTGATTTTCAAAACTAGCCTATTTTTCAATTGTCCATTGTCACTCATGTTTTTATTTTGTCAATTGCCATTCAAGTTCGATTGTCCCCATTCCAGTTGTATTTGCTCATTGCCCATTCAATTTTTTTGCCCATTGCCATTAAAGGTTGATTGTCCCTATTACATTTTTAATTGCCCATTAAGTTCTATTTGTGCTTTGTCACTTGAGTTTTATTTGTCCATTGCCATTCAAATTTTATTTGCCCCATTGCCAGTCAAGTTTTATTTGACCATTGTCACTCAAGTTTGATTGGGCCCATTCAAATTTCATTTGCCATTACCATTCAAATCTTATTTGCCCATTGCCACTCCAGTTGGAATACTCATCTACTTCTTAAGTATTAGTGCTTCTTTTGTTAATTATTTCTTAATCACTGTTAATTTTACACTGGAATGGTGGTACATTCTAATTTCATCCCTACTTTCTTACGCATTTATATTGTGTCCAGCCTGCAGGGTTATAGCACGTTCTTTCTATATTGTTAGTGTATAAGATAGACCTGATAAAAGGCTGAGTAATGAAGTGAAATTCATTCTAGAATGAGTCCAAGCTAATAAATCCTCTTTCAGGGGTCATGGCTTTAGGAAGCCTGTCATTTAATTACACATTAATTGAGCTGTTGACCGGAAAAAATAGCCTCGCTTAACACTTTCATTATTGCCTTTCTGGACATGTCTTAGATCTTATTTATTTAATTATCTTCGCTTAATGAAGACTTAATTAATATTGTTGAATCAAAAGTGTATTGAAATAAGACCAATAACAATTCCTGGTCTTTAATCATTGTCAACTAGCGCCATTCTTTTCATGTTCTTTTACTCCAGGCTCATCTGTCATGTGACACATTTCTGCCACAGGATATTCCACATTTTTTTTAATTTTCTAAATCATGTTTAGCGGGTAGTATCTAATCTATTTTAATTTTTTTGGTTGACATAATTATACTGTTTTGATATATTAGAAAATATCATTCCATTTTTCGATTTATGAATGAAAGTGTGTCATATTTTTGATTAGATTTTTGAACCTAGGATGTAATGTGTTTTACTACCATTCTTAATCTGAATCTTACTGAATCTCACTCTAGCTCTCTGTTCTTTATTCTTAACAATAGTTTAAAACACTGGGCACAATTTTCAGAGAATTTTCACTTCTATATTCATCAAAAGCTGAAAGTGTCCTTTTAAAGGGATTGTAAAGAGATTTTCTAAATTTTATACGTCTATCTGGGACACTGATAGCATTAACTTGCACCATTCTAATTTTCATTCCGGCATCTGTGGTTCATGCAATTCCACTAAAACTAACACGTTTAATGACATCACTAGAGGGGAACTGCATAGATATCAATAGTAGCTTACAGTAGCTCCCCTCTAGTGATGTCATAAAACACTTAGTTTTAGTGGAATTTTAAGAACCATATTTGTCTGATTAAAAATTGGAATGGTGCAAATTGATGCTATCAGTGTCCCAGATAGACATAAGAAGTTTAGAAAACCTCTTTGCAATCCCTTTAAGGGTATGATTAATCTAAATATTTGCTTCATATTTTGATAAAGTTTGACTTCAGTTCTATGTTATTCTTTATTTTTAAAAGTGAGATTTTAATACTGTATAGTGTTATATAAACACGAATATATTAATGTACTATTAAGCAAATATTTAGATAAATATATTCTTTTAAAGAGATTGTAAAGAAGTTTTTATTAATTTTTATCGGAAACACAAATAGTATCAATTTGCACCATTCCAATTTTCAGTCAGATGTCTGCGGTTTTTGAATTTCTTCTAAAACTTGGTGTAATATATTGTCACTATCTTTAAGATCCCTATATATCAATAGTGACGTCACAATCACTTAGTTTTAGTGGAATTGTAGGAAATACAGGCGTCTGATCGAAAATTGGAATGATGCAAATCGATGATATCAGTGTCCCAGAAACGCATTAAAAGTTCAGAAACCTCTTTACAATCCCTTTAGAAGGCCACAAAAAGCGATTTAGAATTTCCAAAGTGAATTTAAAGTGCGTCTGGTTCCTTTCAAACAGAGATCCATCTCAATTCACCCGAAAGAATAACTTGAAGAAATTGTTCTGTGATTTATACGTCTACTATCTATTCATGATTTTAAGCTGTAACTTATTCTCTAATCAACTGGATGATGTAACAATGCCTAGAAAGCAAAGCATAAAATCAACAGAAGAAACAAGACAGACACCATAAATCATTATGGCTGAACTTGGTATGCTATTTCCTGTTGATTGCTTTCTTCTTTTGTTAGATAAAATCATTACCAGATTCTACTATAGATAACTATCCTTTGAATTTGTTAAATTATTTACCCATGAAATTCAATTCTAGTTAAGTTAACTCAAAATGTTTTAGATCTCAATGGTTTCTGGTGTCCTTTTGTTTGTTTGAAAAACAGATTTTGGCAATTTGGAAAAAAAAGTACATTTGTGAGATGTAGATACATTTGAAGATATTTTTTAACATAAACAAGGAGAATTTACTTTCCTCAAAGGCGAGAAAAAGTGGCCATAAACCACACCCCATTGTGTTTTGTATTCAATACACCTTTCAATGTAGCTGACAGAATTCGATTGGAATCTCTTTAGGGCGTGTTGGATTCTTGATTGAGACTGATACTGCTTAAGGAAGGTATTTGCTTCAACAAAAAAAGGGGCTAATATCGCTGATTTTTACCCTTATCACAGACCTATTATAATCATTTTCAGTTATACCCAGTTTGTATTATTGATAAGAAATTCCCACAGTTAAAATGACTCTGTGATAACTAAAAAAAACTCTGCTTCTACATAATTAAAGGCTTAGAATACAATATATTTAGTTGTCTGGAGATAGCATAACCTGAAACTCTGAATAACAACATGTTTTTTAGGTTCTGTTTTAATTTTTCTATTTTTAAATACTGTAAGTACGGTACATTTTTTCTAATAATTCCCGAAAGTTTTTTACAGTCATTTTTGTGCGAGGGACAGACGACTGTAAGTATGACAGGGCCACAAATAATAAATCCTGATACTTTACCAAAGACCACCACATAAAATTACAATATATTCTAGAAATATTGAAAGTACATTTTCTTAATGTGGTGTAATCTGATGTGAACTGTGTCAGGAGTTGAAATAGTTAATTAGAAATAGGATAATTAATTATTTCTGTCAACTGGAAAATTAATGTTCTTTTGATTATACATAATTTAACACCGATATTCCAATATGGCTGACAGTTGAAAGATTTTTACAGAAATTTTTGTGCGGGGTACAATTGGAAACGACATTAAGTATGACCCCACATAAGATAAACGAGGTACTCTGAATGAAAAGGTCAAAAGACTGTTTGGAATTCCCAGAAAGTCAAATGATTTCTGGAAATGATTGTTTAAAGAGTTTTGAATTCTGTTTACCATGACAATAAGACGCTGACTCCAGACTGATGGATGTCTTCACAACCAGCAGATAAATTAGCCAGCTTTTACAGTTTTTCACAGTAATTCACAGACATTAGAAACAATTTGTGTTGAAGATGCTTGGCCTCATGGTTGTTTTCAATTATTGAACCATATTTATCAGTGTATTTTATGTAAGATAAATTATTTATTTGTTAAATTGAGCTTGAGAAAAGATTGTGTTAGAACTGAAACCATGGTGAATGAAATTGCAATCTGAATAAAAATGCAAATATGGATTATCGTTTTTTTGCTTGCAAAAACTGTGTCTGCATATGGCAGACGTGCATGGTTTTGTTGCAGTCTGCCATCTACACACATATGTTGATATGAACTTGAAATTGTACTTCAACTATTAAGTACACAGTCATGTACTCTCTTTCATTAATTTGATTATACAATAAAAACCTTGCCTGTAACATTTCACTATTGTCTTAATCTATTTGTATTTAATAAAGAAATTCAGAATGACAAGATAATAATGTAAAGTATATATATGATCTCAAACAGTCCAAATACAACTATAGTGTTTGACAGGATCAGTTTCAATTTGAAGTTAAAGCCACCACACAATTCTTTAAGATATATATCAATTTGTAGTTAAAGCCACCACACAATTCTTTAAGATATATATCAATTTGAAGTTAAAGCCACCACACAATTCTTTAAGATATATATCAATTTGTAGTTAAAGTTCAAGGGAAATGTGATTTAAAGGATTGGATCAGTTAGCGAAGTCTGATGCAATATGTCACACAAACCATTTTTATACACCCACATTATAATGTGGTCGTATATTGTCATGGCCCCTTTCCGTTGGCCAGACAGCCAGCCACAATAGAGACTACAGTTTTTATCTGATTTAAATGAAATTTGGTGGGATCATTTATAATGATGAGATCTTGGTCAAGTTTGAATTTGATGATTTTTGAAGTGATGGGCAAACTATATATACATTATGCCCATCGCTTCTTATCATTATGTGCCTGAGGACGACGGGGGAAACGTCAAAACGTTGCATAAAACTTTAACCAGTGATTGTTGTTCCATAAAGCTGTGTCTATATATCGTACTCACAATTGCTAAATGCCATTCAAAGACTTTAATTTGGTTAATGTTAGGATTTCGGACATATATTGAAGTAACAGTATTGGCTGAACACAAATTTTGAAAGAAATGAAAGATCATGATGTATGAAGTCTGAAAGATAACGTCTGAACATACCATTTGAAGATTTATCTAGAATGAACATTCTTATCATACATAACACAAAGTAATCAAAGACGTCATCAAAAACATACGCCTAAATATGGTACAAGGCAATACAGATGTCAAGATTCGTGTGAATTGAAAAAGTATATTCTGAAAATGTTAATACTTTCAAATCTCTTTTGTTTACATGTATAAAACAACACCTACACTGAATTCACGTATAAAAGATACATTAAATCAAGTATAATTACGGAAATACTAAAAATCACAGATACATCACTTAAAATAGAATTGCAGCTAAATTACACGCATTAAAATCACAGACATTAAATATCTTAAAATAACAATGATAGTAAATTGAAAAATCACAAATACAGTAATTTCAGTAAAATAATAGGGACTGGTGGGCTATTTTAGGGGATTGTTTCGAGTCTTGAATATATGTTAATATTCTTCAGAAAATTCTACAAAGATTGTGTAATTCTTTCAAAAATATCTCAGACTAGGAATTTCTTTTTCTATTTCCATAGATGTCTTTTCTATATATGGCAGTTTCTCAAGAAGAGATGACTTGTCTTTTTAACTTTACAACGCAGATAATTCTTGACATACATGGATTTAAAAGCTCTAATTTCGACAGTGATCTGTAAACACTATTACTGATTGGCTTAGCTATTGAATTCTTTTTGAGACTAAGGTACGGTTGGTAAAAATATGGCGCATCTTTCCCCTTAAAACAAAATAAGTTAATCCCTTATATTATTGGTCCACTTGTTTATACTTTCAGGTTGTTTTGGCCAGTACGCCTGATTTACAATCTGGGTTTTCCCGAGATCTATTTATAGCCTGGTGTGGCAATCCTAAAAATAGTATCGTTCTGACAACGCGAACCTCTCCTGGTACGCTAGCTAGAGAACTGATAGATAATCCACAACTTCGCTGTATCACCATTGATGTAAGTAATTTTAGATTGAGGTATTAAATATCCTGATAGATATACCAATACCAAGAAAAATAATATAAGCTATGTGGACTCTCTGAAATGAATGTCATATTGACAATCTATCTCACAGAGTGGTATCAGGTTTTTCTAAAGAGTGAGTTGCTCTGCCAATTTAATTTGGTTTCCTTATTCAATTTCAATTTCAGTATATTTAAACTAACAGCACTAAGCTCCAAATGTATTATCAACCATTTAAACTATAGCTATTGTAATAAAGAACATTTGTTTAATACAGGTTCAACGTAGAGTGGAATTAGAGGGTATAGAACTTGAAGATTTCCTGAGAAAGAAACAAGAAAAAGATGCCAGTGAAGCTAAATCAAAGGCTAATAATAGGTATGTAAGTTTTGATCTGTTGCGTTTCTATGAATCAATAGCTTCCCAGCTGAAAAAGGGCCACAGAATTCTCAAAAGGGGTTCACATGCAATTCTTTTATCATGTAAAGAGAAAGTTTTCATTGAAGAGCAGGAGCACATGAACATTAAAATGTCTTTTCTATTGTTAAATTATGAATTGAAAAGAAACAAACAAGCAGTTTTACAAGGATAATAATTTACATTTACGAAGATCCTGTCTCTGAAACATCTTGATGTTAATATGCACCAGAAAAAAATCCAATGATTAAACAGCATGATGATGAATTTTCTACTTTCCTTTTGATCTCCAATAAATTTTGATCAAAGGATTCTTTTGATTTTTGACAATTCGTTTTTTGTATTTGTCAGTGTTCTGGAAGAGCTGGAGTCAAGTGATGAAAGTGAAAGTGAAATGGAATTGGAAGGTTTATATCAAAATAAAGGAAAACACGATCTTATGATGAAACCAGAGGTAATTTAAATATGATCGCTTAAAGGAACACAATCTGAATGAATGAACATATAATTTGAATTCTCAAACTTGGCTTAAAAGAGTATATATAATCATCAGTGGACTTATGTGGCATATAACTTATAAAACAAGATAAGTCAACTGATGAATTTATACTCATTTTGGCTAAGTTTATGAATTTTAGTTCTGTGTTCTCCTAAAAGGTATTCCTTTAAATAAATGTAACCTTAATCAAAGAACAGATTTTTTAAGCATTATTCAACCTAATTCAACATTTTTACATGTTATCAACAACCAAAGATATATACATGTCAGAAGCATGACTGAAGCAAACCTATACTGATTATTTGATATATTTAATATGGTTGCCAGAACAAAATTTAACTTTAGTTGCCAAGAAATGATTAAATCAAATAAATTTTTTCAGCTTCAACAATCTGAGGAATTTTCCTTCCATTTGAATTGAAATTAAATAAAATTGAAATTGAAGAAAACATCTAGAAATCTTTTTAAATTGATTATGCAAAGTTTGCCATCTATTTTCTCCTACAAGTACAGGGAAGTCCATTTAAAAGTGAAAAACTCTTTGAATAATACGTCTACCAACCTTTTAATTTTATCAAATTTATGGTGCAAAAGTTTTTATCCATTTTCTCCAACAAAACAAGGAAGTTCAATTTGCTCAGAGAAAAAAAGTTTAATTTAATTTGGTCTGTAATGTATAAGATCGCAAGACACATTTTATAGTAATGATATAGATTGAGAATATTAGTATCATTTACTGGGATGTTATATTTCTGCGAACTAGAGATTCAGATTAGTTATATTAATATAATAACTAGTTGTCAATTCTTACAGCCAAATTTATTAACATTTCTGTTACCTACTGGTTTAATATCATCTATATAGTTGGAAATATTTCATTTCTTCTACAAATCTATAATCTTCCATTTCTTAAAGGGATTGTAAAGAGTTTTTCTAAAAAAAATTATGTGTATCAGGGACAGTGTTAGGATGGATCTGCCTCGATAAAGGGATGGTAAAGAAGTTTTCATAACTTTTTTATGTGTATTATAAGCATCGATTTGCACCATTCAAATTTTCAATCAGATGTCTGTGGTTGCTGCAATTCCAGTAAAACTAAGGGATTAATGATGTCACTAATTGCAAAGGTTCTTTATATATCAGTATCAGCTTTAGCGATGGTGATGTCATGAAACACTTACTTTTAGTGGAATCGCAGGAACCACAGTTGTCTGAGTGAAAATTGGAATGGTGCAAATAGATGCGAATAATATGCATAAAAAAATTTAAGAAAACATCTTTACAATCAGTTTGAAAAGGCAAGAAAGTGTGACTGAATTTCAGAGACATTTATTCTTAATGACTGAAGACTTATATGCTTCCAAAAGTTAGCTTAAAGCCCTGGTTCCTTATCTCTTGGACTCTTGTTATCCTTTCTCTATGATAAGGTTCCCCTGGTACTGTATATTTATATGGAGAGGCTGAAGATATATATATGCTTCCAAAAGATAGTTCAAAGCTTTGTTTTCCATAATTAGTATCCTTATGTTGACTATCCCCTCTCCCAATCTTTATCTACCCTTGGCAAAGTAAAATGGGGAATGACAACAGTTTATTAAGAGAGACATAGATATCTGAATCTAACTGAATTTATAAAATACTGCAATCCAATGTACCAGAGGATGTTTGCTGGTGAAACTTTTGTTTCTTACAGGGATACAGATATATGAAATTTTAAACTATAACTGATCCAGGTTATGAGATGATATGATCAAATGATTTGAAGACAAATATTCCTTCAATCCTTTTATGACACCTTTTTTTTTTTCATTTTCTTACCAAAATTTAATATCATGCTAAGATCGTTTTTATTCAATCAGAAAAGATTAAGATGTGTTGCACAATTTTAAATTAAATTTTCAAAACTTAGAATTGAGTAGTTTGAAACTGAAATTACTTAAAAAGTGTTACATATACTCAATGTTGTTTTTCTCTAGATAAATGATTACATAATAAAAACCTTCTGGTGAAATATGACTTTAATTTTCTAACTTTAGAAAAACTCTGTGAATATTTATTGAAATCCTTAAAGATTCTGTCAACAGTTTGTTCTCTATCTTCTCGATTCTTATGTTTTATGGCATTGGCAGTCTACATCAAAGCATTAATTTCAAATTCTTAATTCACATTGGCACCAAGCTAACAAAAAGTCACTTATTTTATGATTGAAACTTGATTGAATTTTTTTGTTTCAATCTAGAAGTATAGGCTTGGATACATGGTACAAGTATCCCTTTTGAAGCACCATTAAATTCTACAGGACATACCTGTGTAGCCTCAAATAATTGAAGATAGTAGTGCTTTGTAACATCAGTATATTGTGAACACAATTTCTTTCACTTTGCATATGATGAGTGTTTTTAAAACCAAGAATGGGTCTGTTTAATTCAGTAAACACGAATGATGATAAACAATCAACAAGGCAAAATATTTGCATATTTCTAGTAGGTTGGGAAAGTTTGGTGCTCAAATTAAATGAACGCTTTCAGGTGTCTGTCATTTTGTTTGACCGTTCATACTTATGTCTCAGAAACAGGATTATTTTTAGTTAAGTTAATCAGTAATAATATAGTGCTCATTGCCAAAATCTAAACTTTCAAACCTTTAAACCTTACCTTACATCGAAAAGATGTATATAGAAATAGGAAGTGAATTTCTAGTTTCATGCAGTTCTAGTATATCTAAAGACTATTTACATATATTCAAGACCCTAGTTATACCCCTAAAATGCAGACTGATCCCCTTTAATGAAAACTATAGACCAAAATAGACCAGTGTTAGGTAACGTTCTTCTTACCAAATTGTAAAGAGCTTTTAATGTCAGAGCACTAAAATTAGTTAAAAATTCTTACTTAACAATCAGCACACTTTTCCAATCTCCCCTTTTAAAACAAATTTAAGTGCTCAAATAGATACTTAAAAGTAAATAACATATTTTACAAAATGTTTCTAATCAGGAAAATGTCTGACCTTATGCCATTATCAGAATAAATAAAATCTATTTCTGTTACCACTAGATATAATTATGTTTATTGTTTCATTAACAGTACTAATATAGATTGGAGATGAACTGTATGTCATTCTAACCTCTGTGATCAGGATATATTTGAGTCCCTGTGATAGACAGACAAGGGTTACCATATTCCTGTATAGAATGATGCATGTCACTGTCAGGGCTCAGACTATGATAGCTATCTATTCAATTCTCTATTTAAAGATGTACAGTTAATTTCATGATGTAGACAGATATGGTCAACATGTTAATTATAAAGATAGTGGATCACGTCCAATAAGCCCCACTTTGGCATGCAGTTGGTGATATAACTTTCTATACCAAACTATTTCTTACATAGAAATAACACACTATAACTAAGTTCAAAACCATTTTGAATTTCTTCCTCAACTTAATAAGTCAAATTTAAAAAGGCTATAATATTTTAACTAAGCTTTCAAATCATATTTAAAGCCATTTCTAAAACTTTAAATGTGATTTGAAGGCTAAATTGAAATATTATAATCTTTATTGAAATTCAATTATGTCGAGGAAGAGATTCAAAATGGTTGTAAACTATGTTTGTGTGTGTTATTTACATGTAAGAAACATATATAGTTTCATATGACATCTTCATGAAAATCAAAGGACCATTCTAATTTCCCATATTGGAGGTCACAGGGTTAGCTCTGTTTTTCTCCATTTTAAAATAAGTGCAAACTGCTTCAGTCGTCACTTGATCATCATCTGATCATATATCTAAACTACACACCAAGGTTTATGAAAACCAGTGTGAACAGACAGACAGACAGACAAAGGGTTGTATATAGTATGTATAAATGAATGGATGGAGGGACGTTGATTTTGAGATATATATGTCCACCTAGAGAGATGTGAGCATATAAAAAGTTAAATGGTTTAGTTTCATGTTTTTTCTGTAGGTAGCTATACTGGATAATATAAGGAAATTCTTGTGAATATTGAAACCAGTCAAATCTTAACTAATTATAATATATATATTGTATTATTTTTTTTCAGGGGAAAGCCAAATCTGGTTTCTTTAAACAAGCCAAGAAATCATATCCTATGTTTCACTTTCATGAAGAGAAAATTCGCTGGGACGAATATGGAGAAATAATTAAGTGAGAATTTTTTGAACATTTTTCCTGCCACATTTGAGCGTTTTTCCTGCTAATACCATTGCATGCCTTAGAATTATTTTACCAGGACAGTGACAAAAGCCTACTCCTTGCCACTAGCATCTACAAGCGTGCAGAGCCTTCAGCATGAAGTGCCTTAGTTTATTGTCCCTTCTGAATGACTAGATTTTTTTGGGTCAGCCCCTCCAACTGACATGTTATATAGAAACTATATGTTACATCATGATAAATGGACTGTCATGGCGTATTGACCTTGGTCTAACAAGCTAAGGAGTAGGGAGAACTGTAACCAATCCAATGATTTGTATAAAGGTCCTGGCAATTTTTTGGCAGATATATTTTGAGAGAAAGAAAAATAGATATTCATATAACAAGGTCCTTAGACATAATCACCTTTACCCAACTGACTTAAATAATTCTGTCTTCCTATCTCCGTATGATCTTAACGTTGTTATTTCATTGTTGATTTAGACCAGAAGATTATACAATAGCTGAAAATGTCACAGCTGAGGAAGAAGTGAAGGTAGGTGATGGTTAAAGGGCAGTGGTGGAGCCAGGTTTATGTCTGAGGGTGGGGTAGGAAGGGGGGGCGGAATATCTGAATTTCTAACCTTGTTATGAGATTTTTGCTTGTGAGGGGGGGGAAAGGGGGGTTCAGGGGGGCTCACCCCTCTGCCCCCCTCTTTTGCTCCACCATTGTTATAGGGATATACTTGTCTAAATATTTGCAGGATTTGAACTGTGTTTTACCGATTAGAATAAAGATTCTGTAAAATGTTTATATGGACATCTGTTATAGGTCATTACAATGCCTGTAAGCATGTAAACAGTTTCCTTGAAAGTCTAAGTTGTTAGTCTTGTGAAAAAATTGTTGTTTATTTTTTTTATACTAATCATTGTCATATTTTGTCGTTACCCACAGTTTCCCACTTGAATGTTTCAGAAACCAGAAAAAACATTTGAAGAAGAAGCCATGCAAGGTAATTGATTCCCATAGTGTACTTTGGATCTCTAAAGCATTTTGTTGTCATTTGGCCATATTAATACAGATTGAAATGTGGCTCTTATTGAAATACATCCAACATGAAAATGGTCTTGACGTGAAAGGGCCCCTTGTGCTACAAGCTGTGCACATTAAAGATCCCTCAACAGTTTGAAATAGAAAAAGAGCAGGCTAATGCCGCTGTCCTGGAAAAGTAAGACGTAAACTCCATTCATTCATTTCATTTTTGACGTGAAAGGGTATCTTATTATATAAAACAACTGCATGACAAGGGAGACTACTAAAGTTTTTATCACTTGGCTACAAACAACAAATATATTGGTCTTGTGGGGAATGTTATCTTGTACGATTACAATTGGAAAATACAACAACTTATATTCTTTTTTTATAGAAAATGCAGACCTGCCAACTAAATGTGTAGCCTCGACGGTGACTTTAGATGTGAATGCTAGAATACAGTATATAGATTTTGAAGGCAGGTCTGATGGAGAATCCATGAGAAAAATACTAGAAAGAGTAAAACCCAGACAATTAGTAAGAGACCCTTCTGATGTTCACTTTGTTTAAATAGATTTGATGATTTCATTAATATCACATGAAACAAGGAGCTTATATTATTTTGTTAACCAAGTTGTATCAAACAGGAAGCATTTATTCTTGTCATTCTGTGGCAATGAAATAGCTCCTTGACAATTTGGTTCATGGATTCAAATCCTCTTCAAGGATAGAAAAATTCTAATGCCATTGCCAGTGCTTCCAAAATTAGCAAGTGTCTGCTCTCAACCCCTGTAATGTATCTGCATCTCACATGGTTCATGGTTGTAGCTTCATTGCAACAAAGCACAGAGTGGGTATATGTTATTTTGTCTGATACACTATCTGTATGTTTCAGGTTTTAGTACGAGGTACACCTGAAGCCACAGATACCTTAGCTGAATACTGTACCACTTCTTCTTTAATACAAGGTACTATATTTAAACCTAGAGTTGGACATACCATTGACGCCACAACAGAAAGTCGCATATTTCAGGTTGGTACATAAAAATTTCTGAAGGACCATCATTATCAGATGGTCATGAGTGATAATGATCTTAATTATTTATGCTGTTTGGTTGTGCAAAATAGTGTTCATCTGAAACAATTCTTAAGCCAAGGGAAATAAATCTTAATAGATTTGATATCTTGAGACCACAATATTGCAATAAAAATATTTTGGACCATTTTATGTAAGTGAACCACAGTCCCATCAGTTTATTGATTAGGGAACATGGTCTTAATATCTGTAATCTTAATAATTTAATAGTGATAAGATTGTTATTTGTTTTTAGGCCAAATTACGTGATCACCTGGTGACGTCGTTAAACTTTGCTAAAGCGAAAGATATAGAATTAGCTTGGATTGATGCTCAGTTAACTTATAGTCAACATGATGAGGACAGCATGGAGGATGGACAGAGTGAGTTTTTTTTATCATCTTTTGGCAGAAACTTAATTTTCTGATTGTGTCAACTGCTCACATTTGCTTTTCAACACTAGAAATTATTCCGAGGTGTTTCACAAAATTGTTAATAAGATCAAAGATGAAGATTTGTTTACTTATAAATAATGAATATCTGTTTTTATAATACAGGAGTTATTGCCCTTGCAATAGAATATATAATTATGTTGATATAGTCTTTGAGCTATTGAGATATTGTTTCTATGAACTTTACTGTTGAGAAGATCTATATGGGTTCTAGTTATACCCAATAATATCATATAATAATACTACAAATATATTTACAGACAGAGAAACAGATATGGTACCACTATTAGACTGTCTTCCCCCAAATAAGGTAAAATTCAACTATCCTTCTATCCAGTACTCATTTTTTGGGTCAAAAAATATACAAAATAAAAATTATTAAAAATAATTGGGGGTACAAACTGTTTTTCTAAAGGGGCAAATCCCTCTGTATACCCACTGATGCTGCCACCAATTGAAAGTGCCCTATTTTGAATTTCAGGTTCCTACCCACAACTCTGTGTTTATCAACGAACCTAAATTATCCGATTTTAAATTAGTTCTATTACAAGAAGGTATACCCTGTGAATTTGTGGCTGGTGTTTTGATTTGTAATAACATGGTGGCTGTGAAAAGGGTGATTATTTTTTTTTTTAATTCTAATGTTTATTAATTTCATTTTGTTTTGTTTTTCACCGTTAAATAGTGATTAATACAATTGTAGAGTGATGGAGAAATATTTTTTAATTTTGATTGTTTGTTTATTAATACAATGTAATTTGGTTTTGTTCTTATTATGTTTTAGAATGAAGCAGGTAGAATTCAGTTAGAGGGAACATTATGTAATGAATACTTCAGAGTCAGAGAGCTGTTATACCAGCAATATGCCATTGTTTGAACAGACAACAGTTCATCATCATTATCATCATCATTATTCATAAATCATCATCATTATCATATTTCATTCCTTGTCTAAAATAAAATGTCAGAAATTTGCCTTGTTCATTTCAAAATAATTAATTCAGTGAAAGATTACAAGTTAACAACTCTATTTGGATACTGGATGTCATCATTGGCATCTGATTGATACTGGTTGACATCATAAGCTCTTGATTGATACTGGATGTTACCATTGGCATCTGATTGATACTGGTTGACATCATAAGCCCTTGATTGATACTGGATGTTACCATTGGCATCTGATTGATACTGGTTGACATCATAAGCTCTTGATTGATCCTGGATGTTACCATTGGCATCTGATTGATACTGGTTGACATCATAAGCTCTTGATTGATACTGGATGTTACCATTGGCATCTGATTGATACTGGTTGACATCATAAGCTTTTGATTGATACTTGATGTTACCTTGAGCATTTGGTTGATATTGGTTGACACCTTTAGCATTTGATTGATACTTGATCAGACCATAAGAATTTGGTCGATACTGTTTGAGACCATAAGCATTTAATTGATACTTGATGACACCATTGGCATTTTGATTGATACTGGTTAACATCATAAGCTTTTGATTGTTACTTCATGACACCATAAGCATTTAGTTGATACTTGATGACACCATTACACATTACATAAAGAATTGAATCGATCAACGAAAATGATGATTTGATTTCGAATTCTCGAGGTTTAATAGCTTGGAATTCTAATTTGGAATTTGTTTTCACATACAACAAGTGAAATATTGATTCATATCAAATTTATGTTTTTATTAATTTTCATATCATAAAAAAAGTGTTATATCGCAAGTGAAATCTTAATGACAAGTCGTTAATTGGCGTTGCTATGAATCATTAAGTGAGGGCAAGTACCGCCACAGAATTTACAGGAAGGCTCATTCGAAAGTATTCGAAAACTTTTGAAAAATTATTCCCTACATTACAGGTTTACATAATAAACCAGTATATGCAGAAACATTTAAAGCGTTCCTTGTCGGTAAGTGTGCGGGTATTCCCGATTAATTGTCGTCAAAAATCGGTAAATGTACGCCGGCTTTAAGCTACTTCCTTTGCAGGTGTCTTTTTTGTAGATATAGTTTTTAAAGATACATAACATCAAATATAATACACTTTATTGTACTAAATATTCATATTGAGAATTATCCGAAACATTTGCCTCTGGTGGATATTTTGACAGTTGTCAGCTGGAGTAGAGTCAGAAGAAAAAGACTCTGTTAAATGGTGATTTTCGACACCTCCAAAGTTGTGTTTTCTCTAACTTAATATTGAATTAAGATGATTGTAAATTAGTGTTGGTCATCATCGTAACTTTCGTTTAGTTAGTATCATGTGATTCTGTGACCTTTGAACATCCAAATAGCTATCAGAGGATGGAATAGAGACAGATGTTTGGGTCTAATGGAGATTATAAGACTATACAATGGTATGGAGGTATAACGTTATCTATATTGTTCAGTGTGTCGAAGCTTTAAAATACCAATGTCGTCATTACCAAATGCATAATGCCGCAAAGTACCAAGAATGCCTAATTCAAAGCGTTAAATGCTAGCTGCATTCGTGTACCATTTCATAGGATTTTGGAGTTTCCATTTTCATGTTTATACGCCACATGAAACCTATTGAAAATCAGAAGAATCGAAAAGTTATTGCCCTTGTTCTTGAAAACGCGTTCAATTTTTAGTTCGTAAATACTCTGGAAGACAAAATTCTTGAAGGATTTTGATGAAACTTGGCATGGGTGTTTGTTATCACCCAAGGATAAAGCCTATTAAAAATCAAAAAAATCGGAAAATATTTAGTAGGAATTCCTGCTTTGTTCTTGAAAATGCATTCAATTTTTAGCTCGTAAACACTCTAGAAGGCACAATTCTTGATGAAATTTGACGAAACTTGGTGTGAGTGTTCGTTATCACCCAAGGATGAACTCTATCGAAAATCAGAAAAATCGAAAAGTATTTAGTAGGAGTTACTTCCCTTGTTCTTGAAAACGCGTTCAATTTTTAGTTCGTAAACACTTTGACGAATTTTGACGAAACTTTGTGTGAGTGTTGTTATCACACAATCCTATCAGTTATTGCTCATGTTTTTGAGGCATGATTTTTGTCGGATTTTGACAAAACTTAATTATATTATTCAGTATTGCGCTGAAGATTGAATATTTGTCTTCTAGAGTTTTCACGAGCTAAAGATTGAACACGTTTTCAAGAGCAAGGGCAATAACCCGTACTCAATATTATTCAGTATCGCCCTAAAGAGTTCAAAAGAAGTGTATGACTGAAGGTTGAATATTTCATACTGGTGATTGTTACTGTACTGCAAAATCAAAGCTACCAGTTGGCGTATATTACCTTGCTTGGCAATGACGACATTGATGTTTTAAAGCTTCGACACACTGAATAGTTTTGGCAACGTTATACCCTCATAATGTATACATCAAAATTGCAAAAATAGCAAAGTAAAACGTTCCATTATAAGGAATATCATAGCTACAACTTCAAGCACAAATCTCACAGTAAATAAAGAGTTGACGATATAATGAAAAAGATAAATACAAAACATGGCAGATTGTTTAAAAAAAAAAAAAGATCAACTGCAAAGCTTACTCTTACAAACTCTTACACGCATACCTCCATGCATAAAGATAGCTTGCAAGGCAAGGTAATATACGCCCACTGGCAGCTTTGATTTTAAATGAAAATATTTGCAGTACACTAACAATTATCAGTATGACATATTCAACCTTCAGTCATATACTTCTTTTGAACTTTTTGGGGCGATAGTGTATAATGTTACCAAGTTTCGTCAAAATCTGTCAAGAATATAATAAAGGCTTGAGCGCGTTTTCAAGAACAATGGAAATAATTCTGATTTTCGATTGGGTTCATCCTTAGTTGATGACAAACACTCACACAAAGTTTCGTCAAAATCTGTCAAGAATTGCGCCTTCTATAATGTTTACGAGCTAAAAATTGAACGCGTTTCCAAGAACAAAGGCAATAACTCATACTAAATACTTTTCGATTCTTCTGATTTTCAATAGGGTTCATCAAACACTCACACCAAGTTCCATCAAAATCCGCCAAGAATTGCACCTTCTAGAGTGTTTACGAGTATTTCAAGAACAAGGTTTCGATTTTGGTTTTCAATAGGGTTCATCCTTTGGTGATTACAAACAATCATACCAAGTTTCGTCATAATCCGTCAAGAATTGTTCCCTCTAGAGTTTTTATCAATTGTGGACGGACGGACGGACATGGGTGACAACAATTAACGCCTCCAATTTCATGTGGGCGTATAAAAATATCATAGTTGAATGATCTTTCCGCCAATTACTTTTATGACCAAGATATCTATGTTCAATCGATATATATAATATATAACATCATAATATTGCACTTTATTGATACATGTATATATGAGTCGTAGACCTAAATACTGTCAATAAAGATTATTATATTATATATAATATGTATTACCGCTCAGAACATTTAAGTCAATGTGGAAACATGTTGCACCATGTAGATCATCTATATCTTAAGAGGCCTTAGAAAAATTCTTCAGCAGCATCTGTTAACTCTCCCTGGGAGGCCAATTTACACATTCCAGAAGACAGGCGGTCTCGGCATTTTATGTACGTTTATATATTAGATATTTTCACTGTTAAAATAGTGTTTAATACATTAATTGTGGAGCGATATCGAAAAACCACTGTTAAAATAATGTTCAATAACCAACTGTAGAACTATATAGAAATATCGCTGTTAAAATAGTGCCCAATACATAAACTATAGAGTGATATAGAAATACCTCTGTTAAAATAATGCTCAATTGTACAAAATAACACTGTTAAAATAGTGCTCAATATATCAATTATATAAAATAAAATATATATATATATAAAAATTCTAATTTGAATTTGTTTTCACATGCAATTTAAGCCTACTCTATCGCAATTGAAATCTTAATGACCCAGGTCGAGATGACCAATTAGTGTTAATACACGCAACAACACCGATCCAATTTTCCTAATGGTGTTAATCTGGTTCTCTCTGCACATCATGGTAACACTTTAACGTGAAATATATGCAATATTAAAGTACATTTGTACACAGAGACTTGAGAACTGGTGATTTTTGTTATTTATTCAATAGACGCACAGTGGCGTTGCTATGAATCATTAAGTGAGGGCAAGTACCGCCACAGAATTGTCAAGGGAGGCTCATGAGTAATTCCTTCACAGTGTACAATATGATACAGATCCAAGGTATCTAAAAATAGTTTCAAAACCCCTGCACCCACAGAGAATATACCCATTTAACAGGTCTTTTTTTTCTGTCTCTACACCAGCTGACATCTGTCCAGATAGCTATCAGAGGCTGGAATAGAGACAGATGTTTGGGTCTAATGGAGATTATAAGACTATACAATGGTATGGAAGTATAACGTTATCAATATTGTTCAGTGTGTCGAAGCTTTAAAATACCAATGTCGTCATTACCAAATGCATAATGCCGCAAAGTACCAATGTCGATGTGTTTAAATTATAGGGATTAATACAGAATGGCTTATTAAAAGCGTGAAATGCTGCATTCGTGTGACATTTCATAGGATTTTGGAGTTTCCGAGTTTCCGCATTTTTTAATGATTACATTGATATTTTGAAGCTTCGACACACTGAATAGTTTTGGCAACGTTATACCTCCATAATGTATACATCAAAATTGCAAAAATAGCAAATTAAAACGTTCCATTATAAGGAATATCATAGCTACAACTTCAAGCACAAATCTCACAGTAAATAAAGAGTTGACGATATAATGAAAAAGATAAATACAAAACATGGCAGATTGTTTTAAAAAAAAAGAGATCAACTGCAAACTTACAAACTCTTACACGCCTACCTCCATGCATAAAGATACCTTGCAAGGCAAGTAATATACGCCAACTGGCAGCTTTGATTTTAAATGAAAATATTTAGTAGTACAGTAACAATCACCAGTATGAAATATTCAACCTTCAGTCTTACACTTCTTTTGAACCTTTTGGGGCGATAGTGTGTAATATTGCTAAGTTTCGTCAAAACCTGTCAAGAATTTACATCAATTGTAGAGCGATATAGATATACCACAGTTAAAATAGTGCTTAATATATCAACTGTATTGTAAAGCGATATAGAAATATCACTGTTAATATAGTGCTCAATACATCAATTGTAGAGCTATATAGAAATACCACTGTTAAAATAGTGCTCAATACATCAATTGTAAAGCGATATAGAAATACCTCTGACCTATTATCAGCAAACTTGAAAACATAGTGTTAACATATTTCAAGTTATGTTTTAATATCTCTATATATTATGTTATACATGTACAAATAAACTTGCAACAATTGCCATTCTCCAGAGAAAATTTGAAATCGATTAAAATTGTACAGGAACTTCTTCACTTTATACTAAAATAAATCTTCCTTCAGAAAGACCCGGATTGCACACTCTTGAAGGTGACGAAATTGAAATTTCAACAATTCTGGTCTATAAATAAACAACATATAGGAACGACTTTAACAATCCCTTTAATTCCAAGTAAGTGAGAACATATGATTTTGACTTTGCTGCGTCAATTATTAATCACCTTATTAATTAAAAATGTGTTAACTACATCTAATTAAAAGAAATCCGTTGTTGATAAGCAACTCTATGTTAATTGAAAGATTTTATTGGCAATAAATACGAAAAATCCAATGTAACAGCAACGGTTAGGTGATGAAAACAATTTCTATTTTTTGCTTTGATGAGTAGTGCAATACAGTTGGAAACAATTTCACAAAAATTAACCGATAGTGATTTTAATGGTCCAGTTAATTGTCACTCATCAAAAAAAAGAAAAATTAATTCAGCTTCAAAAGCCAATCAGATTGCTTAATGTGACATCTGTTTCAGTATCGTCTCCAGTTTCGCATATAGTGCAATGATAATCTTGTCGCGGTTAACTAATTTTCGGGGGGGGGGGGGGGGGGGTGCTGAGCCACCCACTCCCATAGAGTGTCTAAGGGGAGTTTTTTTTAAAAAAATGAATTGATTTTGTGCATTTTGACACACATTTTGGAAAAAAGGTAGACATTTAGATCTGTCGAAAAGAAAGTGGGGGTACAATTGGGGGGCAAACCACTTTTCTATCGGGGTCAAATGCCCCCACCCTTATACTCCCACTGGTGCCACCACTGAAGAGTGAAGGAAAAGGCCCAGGATTTTCCGATGGGCGATATATTATAATCAACAACGGGATTCTTTGATATGATAATTTCTTTTACAAATTTGTAGACACATCTATTACCGTAACGTTTTTCAGGTACAATTCTAAATCGACCGCTAATACAAATACATGTATTAGGTTAGTTAACTTCAGTTAGATTGGTGAACTTCAGGTAAGACGCCTTGTAATTCAGCTACGTTAACATCATGTCTTTTTTGGTTTGTCCTGTTTCATTGAAATTCTCCGTTTTGGTAAAGATTTGTTACAATTTTAACAAAAACACAATACATATCTGTGGTAAGCACCATCGAACCTAATTGGTGTCTATAGTGGCAATAGATAATTGAATATGAAGTATTCATGTATTGGCAACTTTGCTTATTTGGCTCATAGGTATGATGGAAAAGTAGCAGTCCTTAAGAGGATATCCATACGAGACATACAATAGCAGCATTTATGCAATGATATGATTTATAGACTAAACTAGTATGATTTATAGACTAAACTAGTATGATTTGTAGACTAAACTAGTATGATTTGTAGATTAAACTAGTATGATTTATAGATTAAACTAGTATGATTTCTATAATGAACCAGTATGATTTATATATTAAACTAGTATGATTTATAGATTAATTTGTACATTAGTATGATTTCTAGAACGAACTAGTAGGATTTCTACATTGAAATAGTATTTTTTCTAGAACGAATTAGCAGTATGATTTATAGAATGAACTAGTATTTATTTCAATTTTGATTTATAGAATGAACTATTATTTATTTCAAGTTTGATTTCTAGAATGACATAGTAGGATTTCTTGGTTGAACTAAAATGATTTATAGATTAAACTAGTATGATTTATGGATTAAACTAGTATGATTTCTATAATGAACCAGTATGATTTATAGATTAAACTAGTATGATTAATAGATTAAACTAGTATGATTTGTAGATTAAACTAGTATGATTTATAGATTAAACTAGTATGATTTCTATAATGAACTAGTATGATTTATAGATTAAACTAGTATGATTTATAGACTAAACTAGTATGATTTCTATAATGAACTAGTATGATTTATAGATTAAACTAGTATGATTTATAGATTAAACTAGTATGATTTATAGATTAAACTAGTATGATTTATAGATTGAACTAGTATGATTTGTAGATTAAACTAGTATGATTTATAGATTAAACTAGTATGATTTATAGATTGAACTAGTATGATTTATAGATTGAACTAGTATGATTTATAGATTGAACTAGTATGATTTGTAGATTAAACTAGTATGATTTGTAGATTAAACTGGTATGATTTGTAGACTAAACTAGTTTGATTTATAGATTAAACTAGTATGATTTATATATTAAACTAGTATGATTTGTAGATTAAACTACCATGATTTGTAGATTAAATTAGTATGATTTATAGATTAAACTAGTATGATTTATAGACTAAACTAGTATGATTTATAGATTAAACTAGTGTAATTTATGGATTAAACTAGTATGATTTTTATAATGAACCAGTATGATTTATAGATTAAACTAGTATGATTAATAGATTAAACTAGTATGATTTGTAGATTAAACTAGTATGATTTATAGATTAAACTAGTATGATTTCTATAATGAACTAGTATGATTTATAGATTAAACTAGTATGATTTATAGACTAAACTAGTATGATTTCTATAATGAACTAGTATGATTTATAGATTAAACTAGTATGATTTATAGATTAAACTAGTATGATTTATAGATTGAACTAGTATGATTTGTAGATTAAACTAGTATGATTTGTAGATTAAACTGGTATGATTTGTAGACTAAACTAGTTTGATTTATAGATTAAACTAGTATCATTTATATATTAAACTAGTATGATTTGTAGATTAAACTAGTATGATTTGTAGATTAAACTAGTATGATTTATAGATTAAACTAGTATGATTTATAGACTAAACTAGTATGATTTATAGATTAAACTAGTATGATTTGTAGATTAAACTAGTATGATTTATAGATTAAACTAGTATGATTTGTAGATTAAACTAGTATGATTTATAGATTAAACTGGTATGATTTATAGATTAAACTAGTATGATTTGTAGATTAAACTAGTATGATTTGTAGATTAAACTAGTATGATTTGTAGATTAAACTAGTATGATTTGTAGATTAAACTGGTATGATTTATAGATTATTGTTATACCATATATGGATTTTTAAAATCATACATACATATAGGCCACTGACATTTAAATTTCGAAATGTTAAAGAAAAATTGAAAATAATTATTATAAATCAAAATCTCTAAGACAGAATTATATTTCAAGTAAAAGATAGCTTGCCAGGCAAGGTAATATATGCTCACTGGCAGCTTTGATTTTGAACAAAAATATTTAGCAGTACAGTAACAATCACCAATATAAAATATTCAACCTCCAGTCATACACTTCTTTTGAACTTTTTGAGGCGATACTGAATAATATTATCAAGTTTTGTCCAAATCTGCCAAATTTGGCCCTCTAGGGTGTTTACAGACTAAAACTTGAACGCGTTTTCAAGAGCAAGGGCAATAACACATACTAATATTTTCCGATTCTTCTGATTTTCAATAGTGTTCATCCTTGGGTGATAACAAATCTCACGTCACGTTTCGTCAAAATCTGTTAAGAAATTTGTCTCTTATAGAGTTTTTTCGAGCAATTGTAGACGGGCGGACGGACATACATGGGTGATGCCAATATACGACCCCTCTTCATGTGGGCGTATAAAAAATCGAATGACTAATGTCTGAAATTTGCTTTTTAGCCGAAATGGACGCTTATCTTTTGCATTTCTGAATATTCCGAAGGAAATAATTGCAATCTGTAGCTGAATTATGAAAACTGTGAAACTTAAACGACACTGGCTACCTAATCGTACGTGAGATATACCTGTTTTTGGTCATTTAAATTCTTGTTTATATTTTTCAGATATGTTTAGTGTCTGTAAGAAGTATGTGTCAAAGATTCCATTTATATTACTGTTTACTTACATAGTAGTTATTTTTTGTGTGTTTTTATTCACTCTGCAGATTGTTCAGTTTGAACGAAAACAAGAAGCGCCAATAAATTTGATCAGCTACCATCAGTACATTTCAAATGGAGGTTTCAACATAACAAACATTTCTAGACCTATTCATACAAAAACCTTTTATGCATTGACGTTTTTTGGTGACTATTTACTGAATAATGTTTCAATCTGTACCTCCAGTAAACAGATTTCGCTGCTATTTTGGGTTCACACGGCTGTCAGCAACTTTGATAATAGGAGAAACATCCGCTCTACGTTTGCATTACGTAGTCGTTATCTGCCGGAAGAAGTGCGCGTAGTGTTTTTTACTGGGATAAGTTCCAATAAAAATGGCATGAAAAGACTTATTGAAGAACAAAAACGCCATGGAGATATTGTACAAGGTAACTTTGTCGATTCGTACCATAATCTTACACATAAAGCTGTCATGGCGTTAAGATGGATTTATGAATATTGTTCATCAGCCAGATACGTGATCAAATCGGACGATGACGTAGTGTTTGATACCAAAATGTTTTTCGACAAATTGGCACCCACCATTGTCTCTGAGAAAAAAACTCTTCGGTGTACCGTCTGTCCCAGAAGTATGATTTATCGTGTAGGGAAATGGGTAGTGGTTAAAGACCAATTTAAAGGCTTTGATTACTGGCCATGGCCTTACGGTGCAGGTTTTGTGGTATTGATATCTAGTGACTTATTAACAACTCTCTACAGAGCAGCCATTATATCTCCATTTTTCTGGGTGGATGACGTTTATGCATTTGGAATTTTACCAAGTTACATTGATGGAATCAAACATAAACATTTTCCATATACTTCTCGATTAGAAACTATTTATTCACGCGGTGAAAGGTGTTTGAGAGAAAAAAAGACATCGTGCAATATCATAGCTATCGGTGCAAAAACTGATACCGAATTTAATACAATCTGGCATTTAATACAAAACAAATACGAAAAATCTCATAAGCAGTGAGCCATATATTGGCCCAATTTTCTTTAATCCTCCATTCTTATAAATGGTTTGATCTATCGTCTGCTTTGCAACTTAAAATTAAATTCTATATGTTGATATGCCTATCATTACGTGATTCAAGATGTTGATTCGTTCGATTGTTGTAGTCTTAAACTTTGTATGTATGTAAAATATGTTCACGATGAAGCAGGTGGGGGTGAGAGGTTTCCAATTTCTGTTGATTTTTAATAAAATAATATTAGAAAATATTGATGATGCATAATCCATAGTCTTGCCACTAATGAACCCCACTACTCTCAGCTCCAGAATCATATGTAGTTGCTTTAGAAGAAAATAGCTATAACAATTGGCCATCTGAACAAGATCACCATAATCCGGTCTATTTATACGGTTGATGTATATTTTAAACGAACCCCTCAAAGACCCTTCAAATTAATGAACACCGTAAAAGAAGCCTCGGGCAAATCGCCGAGTGTTTCAGAATGCAGCTTCGAAAGAGAAAAATATTTGTATATCATAAAAAGGAAGAAACAACTCTTTTCAAAACAGGGATAACTACTAAGGTTCACGAGGATCCCTACTACTAGCTCATCAGCATTCATTTGTCAAGGATTATTCGTTTCCATTTACAGCTGAATCGACCGGAATGATGTAACAGCGGATCACATTCTAAAATATAACCAGTTAGCTTTAACAGCGGATCACATTCTAGAATATTACCTTTTAGCTGTAACAGCGGATCTTTCAACATATGCCCATTTGGCCCAGTCCTATAGTAGTTGAGCATGCACTGATCTGGAATATAACAAGTTACCTGTACCAGCGGATCACCTTCTGGAATATAACCAGTTTGCTGTAAAAACTAATCGCTTCTGATAACCGATGTTGGCGATCAGAAGTTGATATTGGTACGGTGATTATACGTTCTATGTAGAATATCACGCCACCCGTGCTTACCTGTCGAAATTTAAGTATCATAATTTATTAATTAACATTAATTACCTTTTGATAAATGAAATAAATATATTAATGGTCGCGAACATATTGTCAATTCGTGAACATAGTGGCATAAACACATAGATTGATAGAAAAAATTATGGTTGCAATTCAGATATTCTGACTATCATCAGGGGCGTATCTAGAAAATTCCTGAGGGGGGGGGGGGGGGGGGGGGATGGTGGTTGTTGAGGGGAGCATAAATTGAAAAATTGAAAAATTGTCATTGAACTTTTACAGGCCTGACAGGTGGAGGTAGGGGGTGGACTTGGGGGCAATGGCCAGACTAGACCCCTATATATACCTCCATGAGAGGTTTGCGCGAGTGCGCTTCCGCAGAGCGGCCGCATTTGGAATCTCAACCTCATCAGTTGCCAATTAAGTAAGCCTGCCCACTAATTGTACGCCCAGTCTCGGGGGGATCGCGCCGCCACAACTGCTGAAAAAGATAGCATCATTTAGTTGGTACATTTATCAAATACATATTATATCGAAATATCTGAAACAAATCTTATAAAGTTTTTATAAAGTAGCCGTATATTGACAATTCATATCATTAATTAATGCTTCTTAAAAAGGGGGTGGGGTGCCATAAACGGGCGATCTACAGAATGTATAGGTAGACATATGAAGCAAGTATTTATCATTAAGATATTTTATTATGCAGGGGGTTTTAAATATATACATGATTATAAAAATAGCTGTAAAAAATCTTCTATAATAATTAAAAAAATAGCTGTATATTGTCATTTCATTCGTAAAAAATAGCTGTATATTATATTATATTATTCATAAATATAACCAAGTAATAATACATGGAAGTACAGAATAATATTACATCATTGGTCTAATAATAGAAGGAATTAGGCTGTACAATACATCAATATCTGACAAGTCATAGCTGGATCAATGAGGGAAGCAACAAAGCCAAGACCAGTTGATACAGCGGTGGATACCAGCATATTACAAGTTGTTTGAAATGTTGGTAAAAGATTACAGGAAAATTTCTCTATTCCAGCTGTGATAGCACCAACTGTTTGTGGATTGCTTAATCTTGTTTTAACATCAGTAAATAGGGTGGTACAATCAGTACATAGATCTATATCACCTACAGTCTGTGACATTACTTCCGGTTTGAAGTATAAAGTAGACTGGAAGGAATCGTGAACCATTGGTGGCATTTGACAATATCCCAAAATAGTACAAATTTGTGTTGGTTCGATGAAAGAGGCCATCATTCCTAGACCAGTACCAATTACTGTTGAAACTAGAGAACGACATGTTTCTTGACCAATTGGCATCACATTACAGGAGTATTGCTCAACTTGAGCCACAATAGCTTGAGTTGTAGCTGGATCAGCCAGTCTTGTCTTGACATCAGTAAAAAGAGTGGAACAATCAGCACAGAGATCTGTGTCACCAGCTTGAGCCTTTCCATGAAGAGTGAAGAATCGATCTAACAGCTCAATATGTTCAGGATGAAGCAACACTTTAGGTGGTGCTGGAGCAGCACAATATTGTAACATGGCGCAGGTCATAGCAGGATCAACAAAACCAGCCAGAGTAACGAGCCCTTGAGTAATTAAAGTATTGGTGATGGCTTCACAAGTTCCTTTCACCATTTCAACTGGAATCAAGTCACAAGAATATTTTTTTAGAGATGCTACAATACCAGCAGCGAGTTGAGGATTAGCCAGTCTAGCTTTTACATCAGTAAATAAGTTTGTACAGTCAGCACAAAGATCTGGTTCACCTCCATCTCGTGATTTTGTCAGGTCCATAAAACGTTTGACGAGATCCATAGATTCCTGTACATGAGGTTCTGGTGGTGTTGGCTGACAGTATTGTAACATGGTACAGATCATGGTAGGGTCGATGGATTGAGCCATAAAACCAATCATAGTGCCGACAATAGTTTTCACTGTACTTTGACATGTCTCTTTTCCAATAAGCATTAAATCACAAGAGAACTGATTAATCTGTGTTTCGATAGCTGCAGCTGTATTGGGATCAGCTAGTCGTGTTTTTACATCAGTAAATAGAGTTGTACAGTCCGCACAAAGATCTGCTTGTAATGGCGAGGCATTGATAGCTACTGCTAGTACAGCTAATACGATGAGACTCTTCATGTTGACTGGTGTTGATCGAATGATGATATAGTGATTCAAGATTGGGTTTATATACTAAATTATCTGACCATCAGGTACCCTCAATACCAATAAAACACCCATTATGACTGTATCAAGGATCATTAAGCATGTTAGAGAAGGCGACAGGTCATTAAGGTTCAAAGAGACCTTTACTCCTTTCTGATATTAAAGGAGACAATATATACTCTTAATGATAACAGAATAGATATACACGAGAGTTTTAGAAACTCAAATTGTTCACGTGTTGACAATTGAATTAAGATATATTTAAAAAAAATTGTTTTCTAAGAGAAAATATTGTACTTTAGGTAAACGAAATACTATAATACTCTATGTTGAAGCTCTCTTTTTTACAGCTATTTTCAATGTATTTACTTTTCAACCTTTTAATAACAAGAGCGGCCTCCACAAAATACCATAAGTCAACACAGCTGAAAAATTCCATGCAGCATTAAGCTTTTGAAAAAGCTGCATTCATCATTTTTTAGTACATGTATACCAATTTTCAACCAAAGCTCCAGGCCCAATAACGTACATGAACCAATTTTTTCAACATATTCTGACTATCATGGGCAATACCTAAAACAATTACATTGGATATTCGTGAAAATAATATCAAGTGGATCTGATCAATGATTCCAAGATAATATTGTAAATGCTGCAAATTAGAACTTTCACTTTCGAATTTTGACATACAAGTCCATGACAATAACTAAAATACTTAATTACAAATAGTGAAATACAAGTTTTAATCAGATATATCATCTCTATATTTTTTAAATCTAGGGCAAAAAATAAAAATAAATCGTACTTTTTAAATTCCTTTATATAATGATAAAGTTGAGATATAAGTATGATAGAGGTTATGAATGTTGTAATGATAAAGTTGAGATATAAGTATGATATAGGTTATGAATGTTGTAATGATAAAGTTGAGATATAAGTATGATATAGGTTATGAATGTTGTAATAACAAAGTTGAGATATAAGTATGATATAGGTTATGAATGTTGTAATAATAAAGTCGAGATATAAGTATGCTATAGGCTATGGATGTTGTAATGATAATGTTGAGATATAAGTATGATATAGGTTATGAATGTTGTAATAATAAAGTTGAGATATAAGTATGATATAGGCTATGAATGTTATAATGATAAAGCTGAGATATAAGAATGATATATGCTATGAATGTTGTAATGATAAAGTTGAGATATAAGTATGCTATAGGCTATGAATGTTGTAATGAAAAAGATGAGATATAAGTATGATAGAGTCTATGAATGTTGTAATAATAAAGTTGAGATATAAGTATGATATAGGTTATGAATGTTGTAATAATAAAGTTGAGATATAAGTATGATATAGGCTATGAATGTTATAATGATAAAGCTGAGATATAAAAATGATATATGCTATGAATGTTGTAATGAAAAAGATGAGATATAAGTATGATAGAGACTATGGATGTTGTAATGATAAAGTTGAGATATAAGTATGATATAGGCTATGAATGTTGTAATGATAAAGTCGAGATATAAGTATGATATAGGCTATGAATGTTGTAATGATAAAGTCGAGATATAAGTATGATATAGGCTATGAATGTTGTAATGATAAAGCTGAGATATAAGTATGATATAGGCTATGAATGTTGTAATGATAAAGTCGAGATATAAGTATGATATATGCTATGAATGTTGTAATGATAAAGCTGAGATATAAGAATGATATATAATATGAATGTTGTAATGAAAAAGTTGAGATATAAGTATGCTATAGGCAATGGATGTTGTAATGATAAAGTTGAGATATAAGTATGATATAGGCTATGGATGTTGTAATGATAAAGTTGAGATATAAGTATGCTATAGGCTATGGATGTTGTAATGATAAAGTTGAGATATAAGTATGATATAGACTATGAATGTTGTAATGATAAAGTTGAGATATAAGTATGATATAGGCTATGAATGTTATAATGATAAAGCTGAGATATAAGTATGATATAGGCTATGAATGTTGTAATGATAAAGTTGAAATATAAGTATGATATAGGCTATGAATGTTATAATGATAAAGCTGAGATATAAGTATGATATAGGCTATGAATGTTGTAATGATAAAGTTGAGATATAAGTATGATATAGGCTGAAGGATGAAGGATAAAGGATAAAATACATAGAAATTGAAAAAAACAAATATCAGCCATTAACGTCCAGGGTGTAGATTCTAAATTGCATTAAACCAGGAAAAAGAGCATAGTCCGAAATATCTGCTTCTATTCAATCCTCTGCTAGATATTTTGACAATAATAGCTTGTAGAAGTCAGATGTTTCGGCCTAGCAATGGTACTGATATACACGTAATAGAAAACATGATAAAGCATAAAAATCTCATCATTCTTGATTAATTACAGCCTGTCGCCTACTCTTTCAATTATAATTATCTGTCGTTAATGATCCTTGATACAGTCCTAATGGGTGTTTTATTGGTATTGAGGGTACCTGATGGTCAAAGAATTGAGTATATAAACCCAATCTGAAATCACTATATCATCATTCGATCAACACCAGTCAACATGAAGAGTCTCATCGTATTAGCTGTACTAGCAGTAGCTATCAATGCCTCGCCATTACAAGCAGATCTTTGTGCGGACTGTACAACTCTATTTACTGATGTAAAAACACGACTAGCTGATCCCAATACAGCTGCAGCTATCGAAACACAGATTAATCAGTTCTCTTGTGATTTAATGCTTATTGGAAAAGAGACATGTCAAAGTACAGTGAAAACTATTGTCGGCACTATGATTGATTTTATGGCTCAATCCATCGACCCTACCATGATCTGTACCATGTTACAATACTGCCAACCAACACCACCAGAACCTCATGTACAGGAATCTATGGATCTCGTCAAACGTTTTATGAGCCTGACAAAATCACGCGTTGGGGGTGAACCAGATCTTTGTGCTGACTGTACAAACTTATTTACTGATGTAAAAGCTAGACTGGCTAATCCTCAACTCGCTGCTGGTATTGTAGCATCTCTAAACAAATATTCTTGTGACTTGATTCCAGTTGAAATGGTGAAAGGAACTTGTGAAGCCATCACCAATACTTTAATTACTCAAGGGCTCGTTACTCTGGCTGGTCTTGTTGATCCTGCTATGACCTGCGCCATGTTACAATATTGTGCTGCTCCAACACCACCTAAAGTGTTGCTTCATCCTGAACATATTGAGCTGTTAGATCGATTCTTCACTCTTCATGGAAAGGCTCAAGCTGGTGACACAGATCTCTGTGCTGATTGTTCCACTCTTTTTACTGATGTCAAGACAAGACTGGCTGATCCAGCTACAACTCAAGCTATTGTGGCTCAAATTGAGCAATACTCCTGTAATGTGATGCCAATTGGTCAAGAAACATGTCGTTCTCTAGTTTCAACAGTAATTGGTACTGGTTTAGGAATGATGGCCTCTTTCATCGAACCAACACAAATTTGTACTATTTTGGGATATTGTCAAATGCCACCAATGGTTCACGATTCCTTCCAGTCTACTTTATACTTCAAACCGGAAGTAATGTCACAGATTGTAGGTGATGTGGACCTATGTACTGATTGTACTACCCTATTTACTGATGTCAAAACAAGATTAAGCAATCCACAAACAGTTGGTGCTATCACAGCTGGAATAGAGAAATTTTCCTGTAATCTTTTACCAACATTTCAAACAACTTGTAATATGCTGGTATCCACCGCTGTATCAACTGGTCTTGGCTTTGTTGCTTCCCTCATTGATCCAGCTATGACTTGTCAGATATTGATGTATTGTACAGCCTAATTCCTTCTATTATTAGACCAATGATGTATTGATGCATCGGTAATATATACTAATGATATCGTATAATGTAAAGCTATTTTCGGGAATGAAATGACAATATACAGCTATTTTTGTAATTATTATGGAAGATTTTTTTACAGCTATTTTTATAATGATGTATATATTTATAACCCGTTGCATAATAAAATATCTTAATGGTAGTGAGAAAATCTTGTCATAGTTTTGGATGATCTTAAAGCTAAGCACTATCGTAGAATGTCAAGTATCGTATCACGAATACGGGTTTTGACATGGTCTTAGTATGATGAATGAGGGCGTGGTTTAGTCATGATGAATATATACATGTCTACCAGTCATATTGATGTTTTTACTATCGTTATGTTTAGAAACTGGCAGCCCACATGTCTATTGCTACGGGGGTCACTTCTTCCTCCCACAAACAATCAAAGCTGACTATGGGCCTTGTAGCCCGAGAAAACAAGCAGGCCACGTTTGTTTCGCATATAAACAATGCTTTTTCATATGGAAGACCGAACATCCCAATATTAAGGCGTCGTAATCCTTAATCCTTAGTCAGTAATGCTTAATTCATACTCCTTTATTTGTTGGTCATTTTTTACATTTATTTCACAAAATGATGATTACTTCTTAAAAATCAAAATTCGTTCTCTAAATAATAATAATAATAATTTGTCAAGTAAATTTGTATAAGCATAATTCTACTTCTTTTTTACTGTTAAAGCTTAATTAAAAAAAACACGTGTCTCTTTACATTTCTTCGGTAACAAATCTTCAAATACAAAACATGCCCAACAAATGATGATGAACATTGCATTAAATACATTTCTCGAATATCAAACAGCGCCATCTGTTTCATAATTGGGTGCTCATTGATTAAAATTATGACGACAAGCGGCGCTGACTGTTGTTAACATATCTGATACAGACTATAGATTGTGATAGTGACGTAATGCCAAACTGAATATATTCCAGAGCTTCTTGTTATGGCGTTCTGCGATTTTCTGTTTTCAACTCAAAAAAAAAGTACACGTTTTCATTATTTTTTAAAATGTCTTGTCTGAGACTCCCTTGTGGGGAATGGCATGGATCACATGGTAAAAATTACGATTCAACACAAGAAATACGCTTTTTCATTATTAAATGCC